CCGTCTTCCGCCGCCACCACCTGCCATTTGCCACCACTTTCCACCACCGTCTTCTGCCACCGCCACCCACCCACCCGCCACTTGCCACCACTTTCCACCACCGTCTTCCGCCATCACCACCCACCCACCCACCACTTGCCACCACTTTCCACCACCGTCTTCTGCCACCATCACCCACCACCTGCCACCATTTTCCACCACCGTCTTCCTCTACCACCACCTGTCATCATTTTCCACCACCGTCTTCCGCCGCCACTTGCCGCCACTTGCTATTTCTTACTTTTTTATATTTTTAAATTTTTTTAAATATTTGTCAATTACCAAACGTGTTTACAGTTTATGTTTTTCTAAAAGTAAATAAAAAATAAACAAAAACCAGTTTATAAAATTTTTGTAAATATAAATTGAAAATGTAAACGTTACCAAACACATAGCTAGTGGTTGAAGATACTGTGGTTAGAGATGGTTTAATCAATCGTTGAATATGATAGCTAAATATAGTTGCCATTGATGGAGGTGATGGGTGAAAATGATTCTTAATACTAAGGAGATGGTGACCAAATTAGTTATGAAGTTGGTTTCTTGGCCGTAGAAGGTAATTGTTGGAGAAGGTTATCGGCGATGGTGGTGAGTGGTAGGGTAAGTATTGAGTAATAGTTGGAAGAAGTGGGCGAAAGAGAATTTTTTTTTCAAACAAATGAAATTAATTTTTTTGTGATTATAAAAATTTAATAATTATAAAAAAGTAAAAAATTAGTTTAGTGAGTTTTTGTTTGTAGTGTTTAAATAGTTTACAAGTGTAAACACAAAACTACAAACATAAGTAACTAGACAACTCTTAAAATTTTGATTTTGATTTTGATTTTGATTTTTTTGGTTGTGCCACTTTTTAACAACTTTAATTTTAAGGTAAATTATAAATACATTCATTGAGATTTGTTTAAAATACGAATTGTCCTTATAGTTTTGAAAATTCAAACTTTTTAAGGAGATATGATCATTATACTTTAAATTTAAATTTAAAAAGATAAAATTTCAAAAATACCATTTTATTCTCATTTTTAAATATATTTACAATTACTATATAAATTTAAATTTTAAAAGATAAAATTTCAAAAATACCCTTTCTCATTTTTAAATATATTTATAATTACTTTGTAAGGGATAATTTTAAAAGCTTTTAAATTTAAAATTTTAACTTTTCAAATGGGCATATTTTTGGAATAACAAAAAAATAGAATAATGGACTGAGTAAATGAGACGGAGTCTTTGTTTGGAAAGATTTAAAATAACCTGATTTCTTGACTATTTTAACCTGACTTTTGTAGTATAGTTTGGTTTTTGTTTTTGATTTTTTTGATTTTTGTGAGAGAAAAAATGTAATGATTACGGTTTGAATATGATATTTTGTCTTATTGACTTATGTAACTAATTTTATTTTTTGTGTTTTTTTATTCAAAAAGCCAAAACCAAAAAGGAGTATGTTTTTGGCTATTTTAGCCACAAAGCAAATATGGGAAACACTTCTGTTAAAAAAACCTGAAGAAAAGAAAAAGGTCTGGATCATGGGTTGCATTGGTAGATAAGCTTGCAGCGTATCATGGCTTGAAAACCAACGGGCGGGAAAAATGCACTTTCAAACGTCTCCTTTTTATTTTTTATTTTTCTAATTTCTCATTTTCAAAAAAGTCCCTCTCTCTCTCTCTCTCTGTGCAATCGATTCTCATCCATCGCTACTGTCGACTTATAGTTCACCAACTCAGGTACTCACTATCTTTACTGATCTATCCCAGTGCTCTGTCAATTGGTTTTTTAGGGTTTTATGCGTTTCCATTTTCAATTTTTTTAGGTGTGTTTTCGTGGTTCGATTATAGAATTCTGAGTAACGATGTAGACCGAGTATGGTTCACTAATGTGTTTGATTTTAATCTAGAACAGCGAATTGTCCCCAAATTTGTAATTTCGGATCAAATTTATCTGTTTTTGTTGATAAATGAAAAAACAATCTCTCCAGGTCTCGAGTTTATATTATCTGTGTTTTTAGTATGTGGCTTGAATCAGTTTGCTATAGTGCTTGTTTGATGTTCGTCGTAATTATCGAAGAAGTGTCTATGCCCTTTTTACAGTTAGCTGATAGAGAAATCGTTTGACAATTTTAACAGTTTAATTAATGGATAAAAACAGGAATATTGAACTGAACAATTTAAACTAACCCAGTAATGTCAATTTGCGGACCAATCTCATTGGAATACTTAATTATGCTTTTCAGAAATTCTGTCCTTAAAAAGAAAAGAAAATCATCTGCAGATTCAGAATATGGGTGTTGAAAACTACCATGTAATTGAGCTTGTGGGTGAAGGTTCTTTTGGGAAGGTATACAAGGGAAGGCGGAAGTACACGGGCCAGGTATATGTGCATTTTTAGTGTCATCCGGTGATTCAAATGTTTGACGCTTACTTCATGTTTCTAATGGTGGTGTTGCGGATTTGCATTTGTTTCAGACTGTTGCAATGAAATTTATCCTTAAGCACGGTAAAAGTGAGAAGGACATTCATAACTTAAGACAGGAAATTGAGGTATATCTTCCAACATTTTGTAATTGGGTCATAAAAAGTGTGTTCTATATTTTTTGTGACATTTATTTTATAGGTGCAGATATTAATATTATGTGAAATTGTTAGTGAAATAGTTTGTTGTCTTGCACAACTATTTGATTGTGTGGCACATTACATGTGGCTGGCCCTTCTCAAGTGGTAACCATTGGCAGCTGAAGTTTGAACAATCTAGCTTGTGGAAACACTTTAGTATGGTAAAAAGGATGGTCATTGCCATCTTGGAGTCAATTCAATCATGTTTCTCTCTATCTCATTTTTATTTTAAGAAAAAAATAACATGCTACACTACCTTGATATTTAACAACATGTAATTTGATATAAGCGATTATATTTGGCATTTGCCACAACAATTTTTTTTGTTAGGTGCTAATTTATTGTTCATGTTGATGGGCAAAATCTGCAGATTCTGAGAAAGTTGAAGCATGAAAATATAATTGAAATGCTGGACTCTTTTGAAAGCCAGCAAGAGTTTTGTGTTGTCACTGAATTTGCTCAAGTAATTACTTCCTCTCCCTCAGATGCAAACACATGCATAATGCATGGTATAAGATGTTTCTTATTCTATAAAATAGGACTATTTCCAGCGGCCCAAGGAGTTTAATAATATTTAATAATGCTTAGATGCATGGGTGGTTGATGACTTTTATCCATATGTAGGGTGAACTATTTGAGATTCTTGAGGACGACAAGTGCTTGCCTGAAGAACAAGTTCAAGCTATAGCAAAGCAGTTGGTACTTTATTATCCTGAATATTTGCTTTTTGTTTCCAGTGGTTTTGTCAAATGGGATTGCTTTGATGCAAAAGCATTAGTTTATTCCATGCTTGCAGTTTATAAATAATCTCACCCATTATACTTTGCTTTTCTTTTGACCCTAACTTTATGACTTTGAAAATTTCAGGTGAGAGCATTGCATTATTTACACTCCAACCGAATAATCCATCGTGACATGAAGCCACAAAATATTCTAATTGGTGCAGGCTCTATCGTAAAGGTTGACTAATTGAAAATGCAAATTTGTTTTGTCTTTTAACACACAAATTCAACATGAACTATTTTATTTGCTTAACTGTGTCATTGAATATGCATATGAAGTTGTACATAGAGATGTTGAAAATGCATTGTAGCAACCAACACATCTGAAACTTTAAACAAGGTTTGAATTGCCCATCTATTAAATGCAATGCAACAACCCCATGATGTAATTCAAATTTGACACGATTGTGAATGTTTCTTGTGGTTGAACCTCTGATTACACAAACTTGGAACTAATTTGATACTCAAATTTATAAACATATTGGATTGTCTAGTTAGATTTAGTTTGGCCCTCCTATAGTTGCGTGTTTTTGAGCTTGATATCTATTTGATTATGTTGAGCCTAAGGTCTCGTTTGGGAACCCTCCATTTTAGCCAAAAAGTCAAAAAGTTACTAAATTAGCCAAAAAGTCAACAACCCATACCAAAAACTCAAAGATTCTTTTTTCTCTTTACTTTTTGCACATCTTTTCGTAAAAAGCCAAAAAGTTATCCAAAACATACTAGTTTTTTTTAGCTCATATTTTAGCCAAATAGCCAAAAAGTTACTAAATTAGCCTATTCCCAAACGGGGCCTAAGTTGTTGATGCACATAATGCTGTTGAGTTATTTATATACACAAACCATATTGTGAATCAATATCCATATTTTGTGAATTGTGTGTTATAAGATTTAGTATAAATCTTAAAATTTGATTTATTTTATGTACATGAAACAAAATAAATAAATTAACTTTATCACATATTATAGAGTAGTTCTTATATAAGGACATGATTGCATTGTTTAATTAGGAAGACATTTGCCTTCATCACAATTCCTACCAATCATAAGATTCTTTAAAAACCATGTTCTCTCTTGACATTCAAACTCAAAAGAGAATAGACTAAGAAGAGAGAGTAGGTATGACTCCTTTAATTTCTATATAAAGCATCTAGAAAAGGCGTCTTGTCTACTTATTGTCCAAAAAAAGTAAAAACAATGTTGTGGAATTGTCGAGTCTAATTGATCCTACTCTGATAATTCAATGATTCAACTTATTTTGGCCTTAAACATTATTGGAAGTTGTATTTTGACATTTTTTTCCTTCAAAAAAAAGAAAAAAAGAAAAAAAAAAGCAAGGGTTAAAGAACTTGTCAAGTCTAATTCAATCCCATTAAACCCTCTAATCACCGAAAGAGCAACAAATCATATGTGAGTGTTGGTTCTTTTCACACAATATGCCTTTAAGAAGCTATATTCTAACATTTTTCACAAAAGATGTAAAAGGGGATCGAAATATGGCAGATTTGATAGTTTCAAGAATTGCATGAATTAGTAATTATGAATTGAACAATGAATCATAAGATGTATCACCGATTCTATCCCAAAATAGATTCATTCACTCGATATATGCATGAATTGTAGAGTGAATTGTGAATTCTAATATTTTGATAGCTATGACAAAAACAAGTTTTGGATGGAAATATACATCCTACAAAAAGTTGAAGAACATAAAATTTGAAAATTTCATATTGCCTTTTTACCATGGTAGATGGTATGGAGTATTCAAGTGGGATATGATAATTTTTTTAATAAGTACGTTGTACTTCCAATTATAATATTGAGATCGAGTAATGGAAAAGCAAAAAACAGATGGAATTAGAATTGAATATATTCATTAAACTAGAGAAATGGTTGTAGCTCCTTTTTGTGGTTTGGAATGTTCAGTTGAGGCGAGAGGTACAGGATTGGGAGCTGGATCAATTGGTGGAGTTGTTGGGTTTTCTATATGGATTGCTGTTTAGGGGTGTGGGGGTTGATAATATGGTATGGAGTTGTTCGAGATGCAAGGGGATGTTCTCGGTTTCGTTGTATTACCATAGTTTGGCGGGTGGGTTGGCTGTTTCTTTTTCGTGGAAGTGTGTTTGGGTAGTTAGGTGTTCATCCAAAATTGCTTTCTTTGTGTGGACAGCGGCTTTAGGGTGAATTCTAACTATTGGAAACCTGATTCGGTGGCAACACATTCTTGGTAATTGGTGTTGCATGTGTTGTGGGGATGCGGAGTTGGTGGATCACTTGCTTGTTCATTGTCCAATAGCTTGTCGTCTTTGGATGCTTATTGTTGCTTCTTTTGGTTTGGTGTGGGTTCAACTAAGTTCGGTGTTGGCAGTGTTGCAAAGTTGGGCTGGGGGAAGAGTTGGGAGAAGGCGCAAAAAGGCGTGGGTGCTTGTAGGTCATTGTTTGATGTGGTTGGTTTCGCTAGAGCAAAATAGACGCATTTTTCAGGGGGTTTCTTACTCAGTGTAATGGTTGGAGCAATGACTGCTCATTGTCTTACATAGTTGGGTTACAGTTTCTGTTGATCCGGATGTGTTAGTTTTTGTAGATTTTGTTGAGGATTTGATTAGTTAGCGATTGGGTGTTATTGGTTTGATTTTTGTGTTCTTTGCATCATCTTGATGCTTTTTAATAAACTTTTTTTATTTATACAAAAAAGAGAGAAGAAATTTGTTTGATTTAATTTGGCTATTTGCTAAAAATTGGTGACTAAACTAGCAGAAACTAACATGGTTTGGTGGAAGTTGTTTTAAAGATAGGAAGACAAAAGATGTCTATAAAGGTAATTAGAATGATGCAAAGCACGAAGTGTAGAAGGTTCAATTTCCTTGATTTTAAGATGGAAGTTCCTAATAGCGCTTTGAAGGTGGTGTGGGCCCATTTCAAAGTTTTCTCCATTTTTTGAGTCTTTTTTAGTTCATTCAAATTGATGGATGATATCAAATTATTTCCAAGACTATTGTTTTGTTTCTTTGTAAAATTTACAAAGATGTATAATAGTTATAGTTCCCCTTTTATGGAGTTTAATATATAATGAATGGAGACTTTCTAGCTTTGAAGCTTGTACTTAGGCTGTGATTGTCATCATTTCTTAATCACAATAACCTATTTCACCCAAATGTATCTCTAAAATCACAATATATAGCTAAATTCTTTCACGACATTGCACCATCATTTTGTTGTACAAAAAATTAGTATATAATATCTTTAAATAGAGTAGGATGGTAGGAAAGAAGGTGCATCTAGCCCCAAATAGTTGGGACTAAGTTTTGGAAACTTGGCTGAAAATTGATATTCATTTAGATGTTATATCTAGCAACTCTTCTAAATCATAATTGTCACTATAGCACGTGAATGCAGTTAATGGATTTTAGAGCGTGCCATTGATGCATGAACAAACCAGATCAATTATTAACAGTGGAAAATTGTCATTTTTAATTTTTGAACATGCACATGTTTTTTGTTGATAATGTTGCTTTGTCAGTATAATAGCTGGAAAGATCCATCATGTGTAATGTGAAAAAAACAAATGCTGTGAAGTGGAGGACAGCAACGGTATAATTAGATTCTAGACCTTTCCAGAAGTAATATGAAGAATGGAAGTGATTAAATTGAAGCAGCACAAAAAATTGTTATATTCTTTAAATTGAGATGAAGACTTGTTTACTAGTGATATGGGATTGACGGGGCTGTATGAAAGATAAATGTGTACGAGCATTTAGCTAAATGGTTTGCAAGTTTTAGAATTATTGCTTATTCTTAATTTTGAAATGAATTTTTTATTCATAAATAACTCGGGTTGCATACATTGTTCCTTGTGTGCCTTTGGTGGTTTTCATCAGTGGGGGCATTATCCCTTCGAGCTTAGTATTTGAGTATTTCATGGGTATATTGTTCTTTGAGTCTTCTTCATGTACCAATGCATCTAATTTATCATTAGTAAATTGCATCAGGGTTCTCAAGTTATCATTTGGACATTCCTCTCATTACTTGTGGGAAATATTACAATTGAATGCCTTAGTAGTTTGCAGATATTGAGCTTATGCACCACAAAGAAGTCATGAGCTTTTCCTGCTGGCCTTGGTCGTTTCTTATAATGGATTTTATTTACCTGCTCTATATGTTTACTTAATTTCTCAAAATTTAATCTTGTATCTTATATCATCATCAAAGGAACCCAACATAATATTCGTTTTGTTTGACACAGCTTTGTGATTTTGGCTTTGCACGTGCTATGTCCACGAATACTGTTGTTCTTAGATCCATAAAAGGTTAGTTAGCATGTTTTAGTGACAATTACAGAGTCCTAACAGAAGGAAAAGCTACATACCGTTAAGTTCTTAATGATTGCTAACAGATTTTGTTGTTCCTTTTTCATTCACTACTTCTTTTATGAATTTATTTCAGGGACTCCTTTATACATGGCTCCAGAGTTGGTACGGGAACAACCTTACAATCACACTGCTGATTTATGGTCTCTTGGAGTCATTTTGTATGTGTTTTTTCTTATTCTTGTTTTGGGATTGATTGTTTTCATACTACTATTTTACCAAAACTTATTCTGCTAAGAGCATCTCCACTTGTTGGTGCCAAAAAGGCAATGCCAAATTTAGCAATGTTGCTTCAATGGTGTAAATGCCGTTTCTTCTTTTTTTTCCCCCCACAAAAAGTCACATATAAAACAGGAGTCCTTGACAAATTTTGGCATGAAAGATCGCATATCAATGGTGATGCATTTGAGAGAGTTTTTGCCAAAATTTGACATTGGCATGGAGGATAGCACATCATTGGAGATGTTATGTTTCCATAGCACTAAGTTATTTTGGTTGAACGATGTTCTAATTCTTGTTTTTGTAAAGATTTTAAGCTCTCTCTTTTTATGGTCTTTTGTTTTCATTAGATTTTAATTTATTATTAAGCACTTTCAACTAATGCTGTTTATTCACCTTAATCAATAGAACCTTTTGAACCATCTTTTCTTCAAATTGAAAATTTGCCTTTAGGAATAATAAGTGCTCATTTGGTTTAGATTATTTAGGCTGATTAATCATTTTTTATTTACTTAGCCCAAATAAATTAGTTTTTCTTGTTAAATCAGTTCAAATTATCTAGCAAACAAGCTCAAAATTCTACTTATTTTAGAACTAGGGTGATTTCTTTTAGTTATTTTGAACTCAACTTGGCAACCCTTTGTCCTAATTACTTTAGGTTAGCTACATGGATCAATTTCCTCTAATTGGTTCTATTTGAAGTCATATGCTCAGTTAATTTTATATATTTTAATTATTAGAGTTGCAAATAGTTGTATTTTTAAAAGCTGATCTTTGCTAAAGGCACATTGTACATGATTAAAACTTGAGGATTTTGGAAAAATGAGTTTTAATACAATACTTTATTAATAACAAAACAGGGGGCACTGGTTTAGTGGTTAAAACTTGGCTTATTAACCATAAGGTTGCGGTTTGAACTTGACGGCGGGCATTGTGGGCAAATAATGCCAAAGGTTAGGTCTATATAAAATTTATTCCTCCCACACCCTCCTTAATGGGACTAAATTGAGCATACTTTTTACTTTATTAATCACAAAACTTAAAGTTAATGGAAATTGTATTCTGAGATAAGTTATCTAACCCATCATCTTTTAGTTTTTAATTGCTGTAATCATACCTGAATTATGTTGGTAACTGATACTAATTGCTAATGATTTATATGTATACACACACATATATAGAATGAATTCTCAATGTGTTGACTTTAAAATTAATGATTTTCCCTTTTTCTTGTTCATGCTTAAAATGGGAAGACAATTGCATTTGTAGATCTCTTGTTAAGATAGATTTGCAGGAAATTACTCAGAAATTATACAATCAGATGACTACTTGTTCATCTTAAAACCATATATTTGATAGATAGCATGTCAATTGTATAGTGTACATTTGGCACCACTAGGAGTTTGAACTTTGATGTAGCACGTAGGCAATCCACTAGGCTGTTGTTTTGGTGTCACCAAGAGAAATTTGTTACTTGCATATGAGAATAATCTGTACAGCTACAGCTAACAGCACAAGTGTAGGAATTATCAAGTTTTATTTTCTTGACTAAATAAATATCTATCAGAATAGCTATATGGACTTATCCTGTCGATCCATGCAGCATGATTAGCAACCATTCCCATCATGTATTAACCCTCCTTATATTTCCGTACACCCTATTTTCTTGTCGGTCATCTAACTAGCTGATTGTGGGAATGATCAGGTATGAACTATTTGTTGGCCAACCTCCATTTTATACAAATTCTGTTTATGCACTCATCCGGCACATCATTAAGGTAAATGTGTGCAAACCTTGCATAAAATTCTGAATCTGAAATGAAATGCATTTAGATACAAGTTAGTTTTGCCTACCAGGATCCAGTGAAATATCCCGACAATATGAGTTTGAATTTCAAAAGCTTCCTAAGAGGTTTGCTTAATAAGGTACTAATTTGCTAAAACTCTACGCCTATTGGATGCCTATTTTTAGCATTTATTTTAGTAGCTGCTAATTTAGTTATAATCATGGGGTACAGGAACCACATAATAGACTGACTTGGCCTGCTCTACTGGTACACCCATTTGTTAAAGAAACTTCAGAAGAACTGGAACCCAGGGTAATAATTACTTTTGCTTTTCTTATAAAGTAAGGTTTTGGAGAATTCTTTTTCTAGTTGTTAGTTTAGTTATACAAGTAATAATGCTTTAATGTTGTCAATCATTGCCAGGAGATTTGTGCTACGACTGCTGCAGCTAGGGGATGTAATGCAGCTTGGAGGGGTGAAGGAAACATTTATTTGCCAGTTGGATTGGCTGGTGCAAGTCCTGATAGTAAGCCTGCACTGTATATTATATGTAATTATGATTTTAGTGAATCTAACTATTATTGGATACATTCTGATAGGTAAAAATCAATCTCCTGTTGCTATGGAAAACGGTAGTGTTCGAAGCCATCGGAGTGATGCCCAATCAAATAGTCCTAACATAATGATGGATAATTCTTCACCGAGGGAGGAGTTCCCTGGATTTACGGTTCCCACTGATGCTGAGCAGTCAGGTAGCTTATGTTCTAAATTGGCAAAATATTCATTTTTCCCTGTCTTCGCTATGTTTTATTTGTTTTATATATTTGTTTATTTATTTAATGCATAGGTGGCTTATTTACCACACAGTTAGTTCTTTATTCTTGTCAAGTTTGGTTATTTATTTATTTATTATTTTATAATATTTATTTAAGCTTCATGTGCCTTTTTTTTTTTCCTTACTAGATAGAATGCCATTATGTTGTTCCTTGTATTTCTTTTATCAATTTTTTATAATTTCTTTTCCTGCTCTATTCTGTCTCGAGCTGAATGCACACTTATCCATGATTCTATGCACTGTAGGCTTTCTAACTAGCGTGTAATGTACCAGTTGCATGTCTAGCATTTATTTCTTTTTAGTAGCTTTCATTTAGGGCGTTTTGTTTCCTTGATTTTAGTTAGCATAATTACTTCCTGAGCTTGTGGTATTAATCATAGGAAACTTATACGAACGATATTTTTTCATTTAGGTTGCCAGGCCTTGGATAGGTTGGAAAACAATTCTCGCACAGTCAAGGGTGCTAAATTAATTGGTCTAGACAATGAAGCATTATCTGTTATTTTGCTACCTTTAAAGAACTGGTGCAAAGGAGAGCAAAATTCTTGCAGGTAAATGGGATGCATGCATTTAAACAATATGTTCGTACTTGGATGTAAAATTCTGGCGCCGAAACTGGTAGTGAATTATCAAATACAACAATATTGGTGTATGCATGACAATTCATAGAGGTACCAAGATGAAATCTCAATCTGGGACAATCTTATGTTAGAAAATGTCCTAATGGTGTGTTTGGTCAAGGATGATTAATCACTTTGACATTATCATCATGTTTGTAGTTTTCTGTTGTGTGTTTAGAATGCTCAACATCTACCAACTGGGTGTCTCAGGGCCATCCCAACGATTCAGTGAACAGGACACTGGTGTTCAGTGAATTCTTGTCGTGCTAGTCACCTGCCAAATTATTTACTGGGTGCTCATTACATAACCATTTATTTGGTCTTTGTCATATTAGAGAATTCTTGTTGTGTTTATCTTCCGGCTTAACAGCTTCTCGTAATTTTCCAGGGATCAAGATATTCTTAGTTCAAACCAGTCACTGAGAATCCTTTTGAACTTAGTTGCAGCTGGAGCTCTCAATTCTTCTGGAGTACTAGATGAAATAATACATGAACTGCTTGGGTTTACTGCTAACATACTGAATCTAAAATCCCCTGATGTTAATGATATAATTGCAAAGGTACATCTTTGCTTGATTTCCAAAGAAGAATGCTTCTGGCTTCACTTCTTGTGTCTTTACCATTTTGGCTGTAATGCTTGTAGTTCTACAGGTGAAAATTAGCTGAAACGTTGTCCCAAATCACCATTTCTCTTTTGCTTAAATGTTGTTTATTTTGTTGGAGTTTAAAAAATTTTCCGAGGCACATTTAACCACATTTTCTTTTATAATAATCAGAACGTCATGATTAGTGTCAATATTGCAGCTAACTCATTTAATTTCTAATAAAAGTTTGTGGAGTTAATTATCAGATTTAGCATGGCAATTTCTCCACTTGCAGACTGTTTTCCTTTACCATGCTTTTAAGTAATGTTGCAATTAGTTTCTGGATATAATTTAATTTTTTTGGGAGGCCTGTGGATCCCTTAAATTCTCATATTGTCTAGTAAAATTTTTATTGTTGTTGAGTACAAGCTGCAGTCTCCTTTTAATGGATGCTGAGACATGTAAAATTTCTGGTGCAGAGCTTCTCAATCATAAAAAAGCTAGTTGATAATTCTGGGGTTGTGATTGGCAGTTCATATCTTACACATTGGGTTGCTTCTGTACAATTGTATTCACAGGTTATTTTCTTTTCTTAGGAATTTTTTCCGTATCAGCTATCTTGGAACTTGCTTTTAGCTCTCATGTCATTGAATCTCTAGGTTGTTGGTTGCACTAATGATGCATCTGGAAAAGTTCTAAATGAGTCCACTGCATGCATTGCCGTCGTGTTATCTAGAGTAGCTCAGGGTCTAAAAGCATCTAGAGCGACGTTGGCTACTGAGGTGGATTCTGCTCCTCCTACAATGGTTAATATTCTTAAACTGGTTTTGGACCATGCTAAAGTATCAGGTGTAGCAGATCTTTTATGTCTGTGCTTAGCAACTTCAGGCTCAAGTCTCATATTGGGCTCTACACATTTGTTGCGTGCTGCTTGTGAAGCTTGTAGGGCTATCTGGTCACTGATAAATGCATTTGAAATTCTTTCTGTAAAAGAAAATGCTTATTTATTCCCACTAAATGCTTTGAGAAGCCGTTCATTACTCCGACTTGACATTAGGGAACATGACCAAGGTTCATTGGTCGGAACAGAGTCATCAAAAATTGTTGATGCAGTGACAAAAGCATTTCTCAGGTCCAAAGCCACGCAGGTTGCTATTTACTACTGTCTTCGTCAACGTCTTGAGGCTGCCCTGTCAGCTGCTATCCAGGTGATTATTTCTTTCCTCATTACCTTGATGTTTAGCTCTATCTATTGCATGAGCACATGCATACGTTGCTAATATCTTCTTTAACATTAATAGCCTAAGACCATGCATTAGTTTATTACAAATCTTATTTGCATGCGTGGTCATTTACTAATTCAAATACCCTTCCACTTTATTGTCATGTTCAATCGGTATCAGTGTTAATGTATCCTTGAAGCATTGGGTTCCTTTTTCTTAGGAACAATATGCTAGCAATAGACATAGGATTTTTGTTTGCAAATTCTAATTTACTGGATTTTTTTTTCATGGTAAATTTAGACAGAAGTTATTTTCTTGTTTTATTCCAATTCCGTTGGACTATATGTCTGTGTAAAAAGTGCTTAAGCACCCAAATTCAACCTTGTGTAAATGGCATCTTTTTATTGCATTTGTTTGCAAGAGTCTATAACTAGGAAGTCTCTCTACATTTAGTTTGCCAAATGCCACGTATTGTCTTGTGTCTCATATTCAGAAGTGTAATGCATTTTTGTAATGTTTTAGATTATGTTGAGGTGTTGCCTGCACAGTGGAATTGTTTCAAGCGTTCTCTGTGGACTATCAAATTCTCAACCCACAGTTGTCAATGGTGGAGGGGATGGTACAATTATTTCAGAGATTTTCACCATATTAGCTTTGTGTGCTTCATCTTCAAATAAGGATCCCCAAACAGAAGCTGGCAATGTCAAATGCAAAATAGCCAATCCACGTGTCCTAGTTTTGAACTCATGTCTTATCCTTGCCACCGTTGCACAGTGTTTGAAGACAACTGGAAGGAATTCTGCACTTTTTATGCTTACAACATCTTCAAAAAAGCAGCTTTCTCGACATTCTGTTCTTGCCCATCATTTTTCTTCTGATGATAGGACGAAGACTTCTTTTCAGCTTCATTGTGCATCTGCTATGCTGGCTTTTGCATCTATTCTATCCCTCGAAAGTGGAGTTCCGTGTGAGTCTTCCATATCTGAAATAGCTGTGCCTTTGATCCCGCGAACTGCCACACTTTGTGACTACCTTAAGATTCCACCAGTTGGTGAAAATGGAGAGCCTTCTATGCAGAATGGTATGCTCTCTCACTGGCATGGTCTTAGGGATGGGTGTGTTGGCTTATTGGAATCTAGACTGAAGTGGGGAGGAGCATTAGCTGTTCAACAGTTGTGTGCAAGTGGTATCCCTCAGCTTCTGATTGATTTGTTGGGTAAGAGTCATTCAGATGCTTCTTCCCAAGGAATTGACTATACAAACGATCATGTTGGTCTATCACCGGTTGGGGTTTTGTGGGCGGTTTCTTCAATATGTCAATGTCTTTCAGGTGGAGTGTCAACTTTTCGTCAGATTTTGGTTAGGAGTGAGCACATCAGGTTCATCACTGATTTGATATCTGATGCACATCTCAAGCTTGTAAGATGTTGGAGTGGACCTGGTGGGGGGAAGGATGGGATCAGAGATATAATAAATGCCGTGGTTGATCTCCTAGCATTTCCTTTTGTTGCAGTACAGAATGCCCCAGGCTTGCCATCTGCCACTGCTTCAGTGAATAGTGGGTTCCTTCTGAACATGGGTTCACCTGGTGGGAAAGTTTGCATGGATGACAAGGACATGGTAAAAGCAATTGAGACAAACATGGCAAAATATATACAGATCCTTCAGGAGGTCAGATCTTATCTTTTCCTTTATTATTTTTATTTTTTGGGTCCTTTTATGGAGGGAGAAAGAAAAACGCTTTCATGTGCATTCTTATGTCTTTGTTATGAATTGCATCAAAATAAAATATGTTTCACTTTAAAAGCATTTGTTAAATCTATTTTGCATTTAACATTAAAAATAAACATTAAATGCTACATGCTGATATTGGTGTCTCACAGCCTATATATATATATATATATATTTTTTTTTTTTGGTTTCTTACATAATTGCTTCTAAGTTACAGGTAGGAGTCCCTGCCATTATTCTTCGGTGCTTGGAACATATGGAGTTAAAAGATGTTGCAAGACCTGTTGCATTTCTTGCTAAAATGATAAGCCATCGGCCTCTTGCAGTACAACTTTTGGGCAAAGGTTTGTTGGATCCTGGCAGAGTGAGAAGGTTGCTTGGTGGTTCATGTCCAAGAGAGGTTATGATGGATGTTCTAATGATAGTCTCAGATCTGGCTCGTATGGATAAGGTCAAGTTCTAACTCTTTCCAATTGATTCCGAGAAAATGACTGGCATTCTTTATCGTATGTTTGTTGTGTTAGTTTACTTTTGCTCCCAGCATAACACTGTGTGTATGTGGAATGGCTTCAATTGACCGTATCATTTAATAAAGTAGGCCTTTTGCCTCTTGAAGTGTTGCTCAAGGGGACACCTTGGCAATGCCTAACTTGTTATTGATTTTTTTCCTTTCCTCAGCCTTTAATATCTATTCACACTTTTATCTTAGTTTAAGAGTGTTACACGGTCTTGGATAGAACTCAACCCTAAAAGCTAGCTATTGAGGTGATGGTGCCCTCATGTTTTTATATTGCATATTACTTTAGTAGCCAAGCAATGTGGGACTTCTTCATACCTTCCCTCATGCCCAACGTAATCACTTGGCAGCACCTGCAATGTGCAAGCTAGGGACACACACCCTACCCATCCTTGGTACTTCAACTTTGATACCATGTTACTCGGGCTTGGGTAGAACTCAACCCTAAAAGCTAAATTAAAATTATGTAACATTTGAAGACTATGGTCAAATTTTTTAAAAATATTATCTTATTGATCCACCAGCAATCTACCCTAAGGGCTTCACTTGTGTCTTTTATGGCATTCGATACCATGTTACTCGGGCTTGGGTAGAACTCAACTCTAAAAGCTAAATTAAAATTATGTAACATTTGTTTTTTTGAAGACTATGTTCAAATTTTTTAAAAATATTATCTTATTGATCCACCAGCAATCTACCCTAAGGGCTTCACTTGTGTCTTTTATGGCATTCGACATCGAGCCCCGCAGGCTTATTTTTTGAGCAATCACATGGAGTGGCATTGTGTACCAACAATTTTTTTGAGCAATCGCAGGGAGTGGCATTGTGTACCAACAATCCTTCCCTCATGATGATGCTCAAACCCATGATGACTTGGGTAGAACTTAACCCCCAAAACTAGCTATTGAGGTGATGGTGCCCTCATGCTTTTATATTGCATATTACTTTAGTAGCCAAGCAATGTGGGACTTCGCTTCACAAAGAGGAGCATTAAAAGGATGAAGTTAGGTTTCTGTGATGGGTGCGTCTTACAAACAATGACCAGCTAAATTTGGATAGGGCTCTCTTGTGCAGTGCAACACATGACAGGCCCAAGTTTAACTAGCTGATTCGGGGCATAAAAAATACAGTAAGAATGCAGCAAAGGAAAATGAGTAAAGGTGGACTATGCCGAATTTCACTGAATAAGATAAATGAGGAGATAAGGAATGTTAAAATAGGTAGGTTTGATATGTTAAATGTTAAATGGCTTAGAGAAATTATATCAGCCAAAGGTAGAAACAAGGCCCAAAATGACTGTTATTTAGATTTTTGTTGTCAGTTCAGAGTGCCAGAAGAGATGACAGGGAACAGACCTAATACAACAACATTTGCATGAAGTAACTGCCTTTAGAGTCAAGCCAGCATTTCTCTTGGTCATTTTCTCGTTGCCATTTATGTTATATCTAGTAGATAATGATGTGCATAATGGAAAACTGTGTTCCGAAGAAGCACAGGTGCGGACACGGGACATGATGAAATGGAGATATGGACAGGGTTACAACAATAAAATTATTTTTTTTGCTATGTAAATTAATATTACATCCACAAAAAATTAAAATTAACAAAAACTGTAGAAATTTAATGTATAAATAGAAATAGAGAATTGTATTATTGATTGATATAATGTTATATATATTACAATGATTCATGATTCCTATATATAGAAGAGTGTGAGTGTGTAGTAGGTAAGGAGTAGGTGAAGTGGAGGTGGTAGTGGTGTAGTGGGTTAGGTTTAGTGGAGTAGGTGAGGTGGTAGTGGTGTAGTGGGTTAGGTTTAGTGGAGTAGGTTTAAGTGGGTGAAGTAGGTGATAGGTTTTAACAGCCCCCCGCAAACTCAAGGGGGGTAGGAACTAACCAACTTGAGTTTGGAGAGAGTTACAAAACAAGAAAATACATAAAAATAAAAGAGGATAGGTGACACTGTATGGTCGTGTCAGACCATTGGTGAAGACACTGGATGGTGGTGTCATAACGTTGTAGAGGACACGGTATGTGGGTGTCATAACGTTGTAGAGGACACTGTATGGGGGTGTCATAACGTTGTAGAGGACACTGTATGGTGGTGTCAGACCGATGTAGAAGACAGTTTATGCGGTCATGTCGGACCGTTGTAGCTGACAATGTTGTGACAGTTGTTGTGACAGTTTACAGAGTCTTGCTGGACCCTTGTAGAAACTAACCGGAATCAATGTCGGGACAGTTTACAGAGTCTTGTCGGACCCATAAAAAATAGCAATCTACCCTAAGGGCTTCACTTGTGTCTTTTATGGCATTCGATACCATGTTACTCGGGCTTGGGTAGAACTCAACCCTAAAAGCTAAATTAAAATTATGTAACATTTGTTTTTTTGAAGACTATGTTCAAATTTTTTAAAAATATTATCTTATTGATCCACCAGCAATCTACCCTAAGGGCTTCACTTGTGTCTTTTATGGCATTCGACATCGAGCCCCGCAGGCTTATTTTTTGAGCAATCACATGGAGTGGCATTGTGTACCAACAATTTTTTTGAGCAATCGCAGGGAGTGGCATTGTGTACCAACAATCCTTCCCTCATGATGATGCTCAAACCCATGATGACTTGGGTAGAACTTAACCCCCAAAACTAGCTATTGAGGTGATGGTGCCCTCATGTTTTTATATTGCATATTACTTTAGTAGCCAAGCAATGTGGGACTTCTTCATACCTTCCCTCATGCCCAACGTAATCACTTGGCAGCACCTGCAATGTGCAAGCTAGGGACACACACCCTACCCATCCTTGGTACTTCAGCTTTGATACCATGTTACTCGGGCTTGGGTAGAACTCAACCCTAAAAGCTAAATTAAAATTATGTAACATTTGAAGACTATGGTCAAATTTTTTAAAAATATTATCTTATTGATCCACCAGCAATCTACCCTAAGGGCTTCACTTGTGTCTTTTATGGCATTCGATACCATGTTACTCGGGCTTGGGTAGAACTCAACCCTAAAAGCTAAATTAAAATTATGTAACATTTGTTTTTTTGAAGACTATGTTCAAATTTTTTAAAAATATTATCTTATTGATCCACCAGCAATCTACCCTAAGGGCTTCACTTGTGTCTTTTATGGCATTCGACATCGAGCCCCGCAGGCTTATTTTTTGAGCAATCACATGGAGTGGCATTGTGTACCAACAATTTTTTTGAGCAATCGCAGGGAGTGGCATTGTGTACCAACAATCCTTCCCTCATGATGATGCTCAAACCCATGATGACTTGGGTAGAACTTAACCCCCAAAACTAGCTATTGAGGTGATGGTGCCCTCATGTTTTTATATTGCATATTACTTTAGTAGCCAAGCAATGTGGGACTTCTTCATACCTTCCCTCATGCCCAACGTAATCACTTGGCAGCACCTGCAATGTGCAAGCTAGGGACACACACCCTACCCATCCTTGGTACTTCAGCTTTGATACCATGTTACTCGGGCTTGGGTAGAACTCAACCCTAAAAGCTAAATTAAAATTATGTAACATTTGAAGACTATGGTCAAATTTTTTAAAAATATTATCTTATTGATCCACCAGCAATCTACCCTAAGGGCTTCACTTGTGTCTTTTATGGCATTCGATACCATGTTACTCGGGCTTGGGTAGAACTCAACCCTAAAAGCTAAATTAAAATTATGTAACATTTGTTTTTTTGAAGACTATGTTCAAATTTTTTAAAAATATTATCTTATTGATCCACCAGCAATCTACCCTAAGGGCTTCACTTGTGTCTTTTATGGCATTCGACATCGAGCCCCGCAGGCTTATTTTTTGAGCAATCACATGGAGTGGCATTGTGTACCAACAATTTTTTTGAGCAATCGCAGGGAGTGGCATTGTGTACCAACAATCCTTCCCTCATGATGATGCTCAAACCCATGATGACTTGGGTAGAACTTAACCCCCAAAACTAGCTATTGAGGTGATGGTGCCCTCATGCTTTTATATTGCATATTACTTTAGTAGCCAAGCAATGTGGGACTTCGCTTCACAAAGAGGAGCATTAAAAGGATGAAGTTAGGTTTCTGTGATGGGTGCGTCTTACAAACAATGACCAGCTAAATTTGGATAGGGCTCTCTTGTGCAGTGCAACACATGACAGGCCCAAGTTTAACTAGCTGATTCGGGGCATAAAAAATACAGTAAGAATGCAGCAAAGGAAAATGAGTAAAGGTGGACTATGCCGAATTTCACTGAATAAGATAAATGAGGAGATAAGGAATGTTAAAATAGGTAGGTTTGATATGTTAAATGTTAAATGGCTTAGAGAAATTATATCAGCCAAAGGTAGAAACAAGGCCCAAAATGACTGTTATTTAGATTTTTGTTGTCAGTTCAGAGTGCCAGAAGAGATGACAGGGAACAGACCTAATACAACAACATTTGCATGAAGTAACTGCCTTTAGAGTCAAGCCAGCATTTCTCTTGGTCATTTTCTCGTTGCCATTTATGTTATATCTAGTAGATAATGATGTGCATAATGGAAAACTGTGTTCCGAAGAAGCACAGGTGCGGACACGGGACATGATGAAATGGAGATATGGACAGGGTTACAACAATAAAATTATTTTTTTTGCTATGTAGATTAATATTACATCCACAAAAAATTAAAATTAACAAAAACTAATACTAAAATCACTTTTAAATTAATATTTATCGTTTATATATTTATGGATGATCTATTAAGTATTCAAATCTAAGCAAAAAGAAATAAACATTCAACAACCAACTGTTAGATAGCTTGATATACATTGTTTGGGTCCATTTCCTAATAGGTTAGGCTTTTGGAAAAATTAGTAACTTAACATGGTATCAGAGTTTTGGTTGAAAGAGGTCTTGGGTTCAAGTCTTAGCATTTGGTATTATGTCCCCGTTTAGTTTCTTCCTCTTTGTTTGGTTGTTTGATTCTCTATTTGTCTCTCCACGTGCAAAACGGGATTGCATGTGAGGGAGGGCGTTAGATAGCTTGTTATATATTGTTGGGCCCATTTCCTAATAGCTTAGGCTTTTGGGAAAATTGGTGACTTAACACCAACATCCATCCAAACCACTAAAGAAAGGGGGGAAAACAACTACTTGGTGTGTCCCCGGAGTTCTCCGAAGTGTCCCTTGATAAAAAATTAATTAAATAAAAGGACATGCCATGTGGTGTTGCCGCTGTGTCCCTGTGTCCGACAGGCAACGACACTTATTTTGAAGTGTCGGTGCTTCATAGCCGTGCCCACTATGTTTTCTTGATTTGCTGTTTTTTCAAAATTTTGGAATTTCTTTTTGTCTTATCAACCAAGTCATGATTTCTGTCTTGCAGAGATGGTTTTTGATGTAGAAATTTAAGCCATACATTGTAATTTACCTGTGTATGATAAGGAAATGTGTTTAACTAGTTCAGTCTGCTTCTTGGGTCTCTCTCTCTCTCTTATATACATACATGGATATGGACAATTATTTGTGTAATTCATTCAAGTCTAAATGCTTTTGTGCAAGAAAAATTCTAGTTTCACTATGCACCTAAAAGGTAATTTTGCCACTAAGTTTAACATCAACCAACTCTGTTTGTTCTGCTAGTTCTTGTTCACTGATGAAGTAATAATTTAACTACTTATCTTGTGTTCTTGTTGCAAATCTATTTGATTTCAGGATGAGGTGTTTTTCTAGGGGGTCAACATCTTTTGAAACTTGCCAACTTTAAATTATTTGTATATGCAGGTTTTCTATGAATACATAAATGGGGCTGATATGTTGGAGTTCTTGAAGGCCTTTCTTACACATGAAGATCCCAATGTACGCGCAAAGACATGTAGTGCTATAGGCAACATGTGTCGGCATAGTTCCTATTTCTATAGTTCATTGGTAAGTACTGAATGATAGATTGCTTCATAACATTTTAAATCATATAAATTGTTCTGTTTCAGACTTTTTGATTCTTTTAGAATGAATTTCGTTCTTTTGAGTGATTGAATCTTGTGATGTTACTGAAATAAATGATAGTAAAGGTTAATTCTCTTTCATATTTTGTGGGAGGCTGGAACTATTGCAGTTATCTTATATCCTAATTTTGATTATAGGCAAAGCGTGATATTGTTAGTCTCCTTATTGATCGATGTGCTGATTCAGATAAACGTACAAGGAAATTTGCTTGCTTTGCTGTAAGTTCCTTTCCATGTACTATGTAGACGATCTTTATTCTAGAACCTGTTATGTTTCTGGCATTAGTGATTGTCAAACATCTTCCCTGGTTTTTTCTAGATTGGCAATGCTGCCTACCACAATGACCTGTTGTATGAAGAGCTGAGGAGATCTATTCCTCAACTTGCAAATTTGCTTCTCTCGGCTGAGGAGGACAAAACTAAAGCAAATGCAGCAGGTGCTCTAAGTAATCTGGTTCGCAATTCCAACAAGCTTTGTGAAGATATTGTTTCTAAAGGAGCCATGCAGGTTTGTTGACATGCTTTTCCTGTTACTTTTACATGTTATGTTATCCACGCTAATTTTTCATTTTTGATTTCGTTTAGAAAGGTATCTTAGTTAAGATGTGAAACAAGTATAAAATGCATTAAATTGTATTAAATTGCTATCAAGAGCTACCTTTGTCTTGTTAATATACTTTAACGTGTGAACTTATGTAATATTTGTACTACAAAATGAAAATGATTATATTTTCTTCACAAATGCCTAGGGGTTGTCCATTTTTAAAATCAGGTTGCCAATTATTTGTTTGTTTTTGTTTGCTGCAACATAAAATATTTCAATAGTTTTCTATTGATAAAACAAATAGTTCAATTGAAAATTCGATTTTTACACTTGGCTTCATACAATTTATGCATTAAGGATACAAATATGAGATGGTTAGATGGAGGTTGTGACCTAGAGCTATGACAACAAGTGCTATCTGCTCCCAACATTGTGGTGTGGGTTCGAATCATGGTAGTTAGCCTCCACAAAGAAGTGGAGGCAAGATAATTATCTTCTACCTCTCCCAAACTCTGTTGTAAGTAAAAGCCTTGTGCACTGGGTATGACATTTTTTTATATGGGACAATAACATGTATTTGATGAAAATTACAAATGGCATATGGTAAAAGCCACCTTCTAGCATTAGTTAATTTATGATGTACATGACACTTGGAACTTTTTACCCTCAAGAACTGTTTTGATGCGATTTTTTGGTGGTAATAAAACATTTTCAGGCATTATTGAAGTTGGTAGCAGATTGTTCAGTGGTGGCTTTGAACCCAACTAGGAAGGATGCTATAAACGAGTCACCTTTAAAGATAGCTCTTTTTTCATTGGCGAAGATGTGTGCGCACCCACCGTGCAGAGAATTTCTCCGCTCATCAGACCTATTTCCAGTGATTGGAAGGCTGCGACAATCCCCCGAGTCGACCATTGCTAATTATGCTTCTGTCATAGTGAGCAAAACTTCTGACGCCTGAAGTTGGTGTCAGATACAAATACCATTTCCTTGAATTCCACACAATATCGATGATCGCGGTTCACTTCTGTTGAAGGGCGGAGCAAAATGACTTTGGTCTTTTGTAAGTTTGATTGGATGCATAAAGTCCAACGTTGTTGGATAATTTGTAAATCTTAGGCGAGTAAAATCAAGATTTGTATATGGATCAATAGTTAAAGAGCACAACAGTTTATGGCTTCTTATAACCGGTGTTCAAGACATCAGATTCCAATGTATTTGAATTGGTTGGCTAGCACATTGTAATTTGATGTCAGATATGCATTTTATTAACACCAGTTTTGTCTATCATTATTTCAGTTGATACTTTATTATGATTATTTTTTCTAGTTAATTTTTTCAAGCACCTTATCATCCCTAATGTTTATTTGAGCATAATTCTATCCAACACTTATTATTTCAAGCACTTATCATCTCTATTGATATATGGATTCATCCAAAGCTTAAAAAAGTGGAAAGAACAGAGCCAAAATATTTGAAGAATTTAATACAAAGAAAGAAATGCTACCCAATATGGTTTCTGATTTTTGTCAGCTGACTTGGTTGTCTATGTGGCGATCCACACAAGTTATTTAATCTTCAATTTTCACTTAAAATACTGAAGAAAGGGGAAGAAAAAGATGGAATATAAATGTTGACATACAATATCCATCATAGTGCATTTGTAGCTGTCAACCCACTACCACACACTTTCACTTTTATATTTGTTAATATATTTTATGTTAGTGCTTTAGGCTTTAGATTAGTGCATTTACTTTCAGTTAGTGGATACACTTTTGGCATGATGATGTTTGTAATGTTCTCTCCTATATAACGGAGAGTGTACCTCTTTATTCAATACATTCTATACGATACCAATCTTTCATTCCAGTCTCTCTCTTTTCTCTCTCTCTCTCTCTTTACCAATCTTTCATGGTATCAGAGCACAGTAATACAATTCTGGCATTCTTCAATTTTGGTGCTTAGTCCCGTACACAGTGGAACTACACCAAACAGCTCGGAATCTCCTTACGATTCCAACGGCACCAAGCCCGTCACCAGAAACACTCTCACGCGCTCTCACGCGCCGCCCTTTTGCTCAGCGCATCTCTGCTTCCGTTGCCACGCTCACACGCGCCTTCCACTCTGCCCTTTCGTGCGCCGCGCCTGCTACCGTGCACCCGCGTGCGCCATTCGTCTACCGTGAGCCGCGCGTGCGCCGTTCCGCTATTGTGCACCCGCGTGCGCCATTCTACTACTATACGCCGCACGCCCTCTCTACTAACGTGCGCCGCTGACATCATTTTCCATCCTGCTGACATCATCTCTACATAGCCCACATTTCCTAGCTATTTTCGACCTTCCGGACTCACTGGTACACTCTGTTTTACCTAATTTTGCTCCTACAGGTCTATTCCTATCAATTTAGCCCTACTCAACTATTATTATGGATCGTCATGATGCCTCCCATCCCATCTCCGTTATTTTGAATGGTTCCAACTATGTTCTATGGGCCCAAGCCATGTCTTCCTTTCTCAAAGGAAAGGAGCTCTGGCGAATTATCACCGGGGACATAACCCAACCAGTGAAAGACACTGCTGAAACCACGGTTCCTCCTGCTACTCCTACATATAAAGATCGCCTTGAGGAATGGAACAGTAAGAATTACCAAATCATTACCTGGTTTCGAAATACTTCTGTTACCTCTATCAGTCTTCAGTTTGGTCACTTTCAGCTTGACTCTATCACTACTCCTGCAAAAGACATCTGGGATTTTTTGAAAGAACGATACCAGCTACTGGTCTTGCTCATCAATATCAACTTCAAAGCCAACTTCATCGGATGCGCCAAGAATCTAGTCAGTCTATCAATGACTTCCTTTCTCAAATGTACTCCGTTTGGGACCAGCTTGCTCTTTCTGAACCGACTTGGCCTCACCGAGAAGATGCTGTTTTATTTACTACCTATCGAAATCAGCAAAGGTTGGTGCATTTTCTCATGGCTCTCACTTCATCTTTTGAGCCCGTACGTGCCTCTCTTCTTCATCGCCATCCCTTGCCTACTCTGGAACAAGCTATTTCTGAGTTGCCATTAGAGGAAACTCGTCTTGGTACTCTCTAAACTCATAATGTAGACTCTGTTCTTGCCACTCCTCCGTACCGGCCATCATTCACCCAGCGGACCACGGCCTGCCTCTACTGTCAGAATCGGGGCCTTCCTTCAACACATCTCCTGGTCAATTGCCTCGTCCGAACCTGCCGATACTGCAACAAACTTAGTCCTGGTCATCTGCAACAGGATTGTTTTCGCAATCCATCCCGCTCATCCTCCAACAGCCACTCTTCTCGCGGTGGTTCTCCTCGGGGGAGCTTTCATCGTTCCGGGAATCAATCTCATTCCGGGAATCAGTCTCATCACACTGCTGCTGCTGCTGCTGCTGCTGCTGCTGAGGGTTCTTCTGAGTCTCCTGCTCCGTCAACTCCTCTCTTTTCTCCAACGGATGTCGAGGCCATGTTCAAACACCTTCTCTCCCCTTCTGGTACCCCTCCTCATACTGCTTTGTCTGTAATTCCAGGTATCTCTTCTTGGTATTTTGACTCTGCCTGTTGTAATCATATGACCTCCAATTTAACTATATTTTCTTCCATCTCTTCATCTCCTCATATTCCCTCAATTCAAACTGCTGATGGTTCTCTTATGACTGTCCGTCATATTGGTACTGTTTCCACATCTTCTTTTACCTCAAGTTTATCATATCCCTGCTCTCACCTTAAACTTTATCTTTATTGGTCAATTATGTGAACTTGGTCTAACTGTCACCTTTTCTGCTACTGATTGTTTGGTGCAGGACTCTCAGACGGAGCAGACTATTGGGATCGGCCGTAAGCACGGACGTCTTTATGAGCTCATTCACCTTCATGTTCCTGACTCCCCTCAGATCGCTGCTCCTGCATCTACTTTCTCATTATTTTCTTTTCATCTTTGGCATTGTCGCTTAGGGCATATTTCTATTAATCGCTTAAAGTCTTTGGTTTCTAGTGGACAATTGGGTCATGTAATTCCAGATACTTTCGATTGTATACCCTGTCAACTTGCCAAACAACCTGCTTTATCATTCAATAAAAGTACTTCTGTTTCTTGTGCACCTTTTGATCTTATACATTCGGATATTTAGGGCCCCTCCCCTACTACTACTATGGGGGGATCTCGTTATTTTGTTGTTTTTATTGATGATTTTTCTCGGTTTACTTGGATTTTTCTCATGAAAACTCGGTCTGAACTCAAAACCCTTTATTATCGATTTGCCCAAATGATCCATACCCAATTTTCCAAATCCATCAAACTTTTTCGCTCTGACAATGCTATGGAATATCGGGATTCAGATTTCCTTTCTTTTCTTCAGAGTTATGGTACACTACCTCATCGTTCCTGTGCTGGCACGTCCCAGCAAAATGGCCGTGCTGAACGGAAACATAGGCATATTCTTGACACTACTCGCGCTCTCCTTCTCTCTTCTTCCTGCCCTGAAAGCTTTTGGGGGGAAGCTGCCCTCACTGCTGTCTACACTATCAATTGTGCTCCTACCTCTGTCATCCATAATCAAACTCCCTTTGAACGTCTGCATGGCACTCCCCCTCCCTATACTAATCTTCGGGTTTTTGGCTCCGCCTGCTTTGTTCTCCTTCAATCTCATGAACACACCAAGCTTGAACCTCGTTCTCGTCTTTGTTGCTTTCTTGGGTATGGAATTGAACATAAAGGTTTTCGCTGTTGGGTTGGGACCCTATCTCTAAACGTCTTCGTATCTCCCGCCATGTTGTTTTTTGGGAGCACCAAATGTTTTCCTCCCTATCCTCCTTTCACTTACCTGCACTTTCCACTAATGTACTGTTTACTAATCCTTCCATAGATCTTTTCTCTGATGATTCTAATACAGGTTCCTCCTTCATTGAGACGCCCTTGCTCACTCCTGCTCTTGACCAGACTGCTCTCCCCGAAGGTCCCCCTCTCCCTGCACCACCTTCTTCTCCACCGGTTCTTCCTCCCACCGATCCTCCTACGGGTCGACCACACCGGGTAACTCAACCTCCTATCCACCTTCGTGATTATATTGTTGGGTCTGCTGCCTTTTCTACTTATGAACCTACCTCCTATCGTGAGGCTTGTACTAATCCTCTTTGGCAGCAAGCTATGACTGATGAACTTCAAGCCTTGGACAAAACTCATACTTGGGATCTTGTTGATCTTCCTCCTGGCAAAACTGCGATTGGCTGCAAATGGGTTTACAAAATCAAGACTCATTCTGATGGCTCTATTGAACGTTACAAAGCTCGTCTTGTTGCCAAGGGTTTCAACCAGGAATATGGGATTGATTATGAGGAAACCTTCTCCCCTGTTGCTCGGCTTACCTCTGTTCGCAGTTTACTGGCTGTTGCTGCTGTTCGCCACTGGGAGCTCTTTCAAATGGATGTCAAAAATGCTTTCCTCAATGGTAATCTTCTTGAGGAGGTCTACATGCAACCTCCACCTGGGTCTACTTTTCTCTCTCATAAGGTTTGCAAACTACAGCGTGCCCTCTATGGCCTCAAGCAAGCACCCCGCGCCTGGTTTGCCAAGTTCAGTTCTACCATTCATGACTTCGGGTTCACCTCTAGCTCCTATGACTCTGCTCTTTTTATACGGACTACTCCTCATGGTACCACTCTTCTCCTTCTGTATGTGGATGATATGATTATAACTGGTAATGATGCAGCTGGTATTCTCCACCTCAAACGCTTTCTCCACCGTCAGTTTGAGATGAAGGACCTTGGTACTCTCAACAACTTTTTAGGCCTTGAAGTCTCTCATGATCCTACTGGCTCTTACTTATCTCAGGCCAATAAAATTTTTTTATATTTATTTGATAAATACTAATAATAATAATAATAATTTATTTTTTAAATATGATTACTTTTTATTTTAAATTTAGTAATGTTAAAATAATTGAGAATTTATTTGTTAATATGTTAAAGTCCTTTTTGTCTGATTAGGACCCAAATTTTTTAATTGTTTGGTTATAACTAAATAAAAAAAATAAAAATACTACTCACGTGTAAC